TAAATAAATAAAATAAAGAGAGTCTCCCTATGTAGTTCAGGCTGGCCTAGAACTCTCGGTGATCCTCCTGCCTCAGCCTCAGCCTCCTGAGTGCTGGGATTACAGGCATGTACCACCATACCCGGCTAAAACGCAATTTCTGCAATTAATTTACAAAAAGACGCCAGTGGGCCAGAGATATAGCTCAGTGCACAAGCACCTGTCTGGCAAGCGCAAGGTCCTGAGTTTGATTCCCAGTACCAAAAAAACCAAAAAATACAAAAAGAAGCCAGTCGTGGCGGTGTACACCTATAATCCCAGCACTCAGGAGGCTGAAGCAGGAGGATCGTCTTGAATTCTACACCAGCCTGGGCTCCGAAGTGGGGTCAAAGCCAGCCTGAACTGCATAGCAAGATCTTGTCGCCAAAACAACAAAAAAAAAGAAGACAGCACACACACACACACACACACACACACACACACACACACGACCATCCTTGGGCTGGAGATGTAGCTCAGTGATAGAACACCTGCCCAGTAGGCATGAGGCCCTGGATTTGACCCTAGAACCTCAAAAAATAAAAGCCATGGTTGTACACTCCTGGAATTCTAACACTCTGGGAGGCTGAGGCAAGAGGATCACAAGTTTGAGCACAGCCTAGTGAGACTTAGAAAGACCTTGTCTCAAAATCAAAAATTAGGAAGGGGGAGGCCCTGTCTCAAAAAAAGCTGGGGGAGAGGTGTGATAGGTTCAGCTTGTGAAGGCTTACTCTGTGGTTCTGTGTTTATGTATTTGGCCATTCACAGATATAACACTTACTGCTCTAAAAAATCCACATTTCCTCCCACTCATTTTCTTCTGTTTATGTTTTTAGGCAAACGTATATCAAACTATAGTGACAGTTCTATTTCTGTATTCTATCTTTTCCTGCATAACATGTAGGAAGCATTTTCTCATCTCATTAAATAACCTTTAAAACATTCTTTATTCTTTATTTATTTATTTTTTCTTTTTGAGACGGGGTCTTGCTGTGCAGTTCAGGCTGGCCTTGAGCTCACTTTTGTAGCCCAGGCTGGTCTTGAACTCACAACGATCCTCCTGCCTCAGCCTCCTGAGTGCTAGGATTGCAGGCGTGCGCCACCATGCCTGGCTAGCATTCTTTATTTTTAGCAGGGCCTCAGTAGTTCATCAGATGAGCATGCCAACCTTAACTTAATTTAATCACTCCCCTCTTTTATTTGTTTTGAGATTATGGTCCCACTTTGCTGTCTCTTGCAAGGTCTACCAGCATATGCTGCCCCCATTGCTGCATTTGCAATAAAAATACAGGGGCTTTCCTGGACATGAGTAATGAGCTAGCTGAGAAGAAATCAGGAAAATTTCCATTCACAATAGTTTATAAACCTGGCATGGTGGTGCATACCTGTAATCCCAGCACTCAGGAGGCTGAGGCAGGAGAATCACAATGAGTTTGAGGCCAGCCTGGGCTACATAGTGAGTTCAAGGCCTGCCTGAGTTACAGAGGGAGACCTTGTCTCAAAAAAAAGCAAAAAGAAAAAGAAAACTTACAAAAGTCCTAGCAGTCAAACTAACCAAAGGGGTAAAAGACATCTACAAAGAAAAGTACATAATCCTGAAGAAAGAAATTGAAGAAGACACTAGAAGATACAAAGACTTCTCATATTCATGGATCAGCAGGATTAATATTATTAAAATGGCCCTATCACCAAAAGTGATCTACAGATTCAATGTACTCTCAATCAAAATTCCAAGGATATTCCTCACAGAACTAGGGGAAATCCTAAAATTCATATGGAAGCACAAAAGTCCCAGAATAGCCAAAGCAACTGAGCAAAAAGAGCAATCAATGTTGGAGGCATCACAATTCCCAACTTCAAAATATATTGCAAAGCCCTTGTGATAATAATAGCATGTACAAGCTGGGCGTGGTACAAATTGGTTGTGATGGCACACATGTGTAATCCTAGCACTTGGGAGCCCAAGGCAGGAGGATCACCTTGAGTTCAAAGTCAGCCTAGGCTGACCCACACAGAGCAAGACCCCATCTCAAAAAACAAAAACAAAAACAACATGTACAGGCATAAAAATAGACATGGAATAGTATAGAGAATGGACTCACAGAGTCATACCCAGCTGGTTCTGGACAAACGGGCCAGAAACATACTGGGAAAATGTTAATTCATTAACAAATTGTTCTGGGAAAATTGGCTGTCCATACATAGGAGACTAAAACTAGATCTCTGTCTTTCACCCTGTAAAAAAACAAATTCAAAATAACTGGATGTGGTGGCACACACCTGTAATCCCAGGACTTGGGAGGCTGAGTCAGGAAGATCACCATGAGTTTGAGGCCACCAAGGCCCAGTCTAAAAAAAAAAAAAAAAATTAAAAAACATAGGGGAAACACTTGAAGTCATAGGCACGGGCAAAGACTTTCTGAAAAGGACTTTATTTTTTTTCCGGTGCTAAATAGGACTTTAATAGCACAGGAAATATTAGCAAAAATCAACAAAGGGGACTATATCAAATGAAAAAGCATCTGTATAGTGAAGGAAATGATCAACAAAGTGAAAAGACAGCCCAGCCTACAGAATGAGCACAAATCCTTGCCAGCTACTCTTGTATACCTAGAACATATGAGAACTCAGAGCCAGACTTGGCAGCACACACCTGTGATGCCCCCTACTTGGGGGGTGATCACAATTTCAAGTCCAACTGAGTGAGGTCCTGTCTCAAAATAAAAATAAAAATAAAGGTCTAAGGGTTGCTGAGTAATAGAGCACCCTTTGGTTCAGTCTCTAGTACTGCATAAGCAAACAAACACTGAACACCAAAAAACACTCCAAAAATTAATGAACACATGAATACAATAAATAATTCTCAAAAAAAGTACAATTGGGCAGTAAGTATATGAAAGAAAATGTTCAGCCTCTTTACCTATTTGGGAAATGCAAATCAGAATCACACTGAGGGGAATGTCTGTAATCTCAGCACTGGGGAGGCTGAGGCAGGAGACTACCACAAGTTCAAGACCAGCCTGTGCCTCACTTTATAGTGAGTTTAAGGGCAGCCTGAACTATATACCAAAATCCTGTCTCAAAAAACCAAAAACAACAACCAAAAAAGAAAAACAAAAGCAAAACACATTGAGATTCCATCAGATTCCATTCTGACTAGATTCCATTCCTAGTCAGAATGGCTATAATCAAAAATTAAAAAAAAAAAATCTAGGTGCGGTGGTATAAACCTGTAAACTCAGAATTTAGGGAAGTTGAGGCAGGAAGATAGTAAATTCCAGGCCCACACTGGCAACTTAGTGTGACCCTCTTAAATGTTTGTGGTTTTTTTTTTTTTTTTGGTCTTTCTGAGACAGGGTCTTGCTATGCAGTTCAGGCTGCCCTTGAGCTCACTTATGTAGCCCAGGCTGGCCCTGAACTCACAGTGATCCTTCTGCCTCAGCCTCCCAAGTGCTGGAATTACAGGCATGCGCCACCATGCCCGGCTCTCTCTTAAAAATTTTAAAGCAGGCATGGTGGTGCACACCTATAATCCCAGCACTCAGGAGGCTGAAGCAGGAGTATTACTTTGAATTTGAAGCCAACCTAAACTGTGTCATGAGACCCTGTCTCAAAAAACAAAAGCAAAACAAAAATAGAAATTGGAAAGAAAACAGGGTATGGGGAAGGTCAAAAGCAGGGAGTCATCTGGGAGGACCCTGCCCAGTTGTCCCCAGACCAAAGGGGCCTGTGACAGTCCCCCACTGCCCAGACTGGCTCTGGGCCCTGGAAACACTGCTGGAGGAAGCAGGAGTCCCTTCTGGGCTTTTGGCCGGGCGTGGTGGCACATGCCTGTAATCCCAGCACTTGGGAGGCTGAGGCAGGAGGATCCTGTGAGTTTGAAGCCAGCCTGAAGTGCATAGCGAAACCCTGTCTCAGAAAGACAATAAATAAATAAGATCCAAAATGTACAATAGATATTGTAAAATGGGAAGAAACTGCTCAAAAAGAAAGAGAAACTAGGATGGGGGGAAAGGAGAAAGGAGGAAGGAAAAAGCAAAAAACAAGTTTAAATTAAAAAAATACAACACAGTTAAGATAGTTATAGTACTCATTTCTCTTAGTTTGTTGAAAAGAAAGGCTTGTGCTAATATTGTTTGGACAATTAAATGCATAAATCTTGTACTCTGAGTAACTAATTTAAAGATAACAATATGCAATATATTAACCATTGTTACCTTATTATCTTATTTTGAAATTTTGTTTTATTTTTTTCTCTTTAAAATAAAAAAAAGCAGTCATACTCTCAGTTTTGCAGAGTGATTGTGAGGTCTCAGTAAGGTAGTAGCAGTGACAGAGCCTGCCACAGCGGCAGGTGCTCAGCGACAGCTTCCTTTCCCCAGTGAATCCCTGGCCAGCGGGTCTCTGGGAGAGCGGCTCTAGCAGCAGGGCAGGAGAGGCCGGTGTGCGGGGACTGCTTCCTGAGCCGGAGGAGGGGCAGCCACACTCCAGGCGCAGGTCAGAAGTGGACCTGAGCCGAGGCCATCAGAGGGAAGGCCAGGAGGGGCTGACGGCTGGGATCTGAGGCCAACCCTGACCAATCTGCTGCCGAGGGACCCGCCTTGTGCTCCCTGCCCTGTAGATATTCAGGCTCTAGAGATGACTCCAGCTTCCCCCTGCTGGGGGACATCTGCCCAAGGGGCTGTGGAGGGGCGGCCTGGGCTGGGGGACTGGGCAAGGGGCCACTGACCTTGGGGGAAGAGCCCAACAGGCTGCGGCCAGCGGGCGAGGCAGACAGCACATAGGTGGGGGACATCTGATCAGGAGGTAGAGTCACCACAGCGGGGCTGAGGGACAGCAGGGACGGAGGGGATGGGAGGAGGCCGCACACAACCTGAGGCTGTGCATCTGGGTGCAGCTGCTGAGGTGGCAGACAGGAGACGGAAGTCTGGAAGAGGCCTGGCTGCTCCTGGCAGCTGTGCTGTCCCTGGGGAGCAAGCTGTCCCGGGAGCCACCTGGCCTGGCCCCAGCAGTCGGGGGGCTCGGGAGCTGGGTGGGGGGCACAGTCCCTGGGGCACAGGCGCTCGTGCAGATGCAGGGTCTGACTCCACCGCGCCAACTCGGCCCGTAGGCCCCGGATCTCCTTCCGCAGGGCCTGGTTGTGTTTCTCCAGGGACTCGTGCTGCTGGGGGGAAACAAAGGGCGGCAGGGAGGTGTCAGACAGCACCGGGCCCTGTGTGACCACCGCCCCTTTAGGGAAAGGCACTGTTACCTTCTGAATGTTCAGGACGGGACCCCTTGGCTACTCTCTGGCCAGCCCCTGCTGCCACCCACAAGTCCCCATGCAGCACCTCACAAGGCTCAGGCTTGCCCTGTTCTCTGCCTGCTGCTGGTCCCCTGAGCCAGCACCACTGGTCCCCCAGGACCTCCTCCAGCCTCCTAAATCATGTGTCCCAAACCACCCCACCTCCTGGCTCAGAAAAGCCATTCCGCAAGTGTGTCATTATTATAGGGTGAAATGTTTTGGTCTTATTCTACGGATTGAACTCAGGGCCTTACACATACTAGGCCCCAGCCCCAGCTTTGCTTTGCTTTTTTATTTTTTGGAAACAGGGTCTCACTCTGCATTCAGGCTGGCTTTGAACTCATTATGTAGACCAGGCTGTCCTCAAAGTTGTGATGATCCTCCCACCTCAGCCTCTGAGTGCTGGATTACAGACATGCACCACCACACATGACTTACTTTTTAATTTTATTTTGAGATAAGGTCTTGCTGAGTTTCCCAAGCTGTGGTGGAACTTGAGACTCTCCTGCCTCAGCTTCCTTGAACAGCTGGGATTGCAGGTGTGTACCACTACACCCAGCTATGCTCAGACTCTCAGCTCTACCTGTCCCACTTTCTGTCTTGCTGCTCTGTCTTGGCCCTTAGCTGGAATCTGCTTCTTGTCTTGTCCACCTGAACACCCCTCTACACCCTCCCACTCCCACACTAGTCCTAATGTAGCTCTCCCACAGCAGCTTCAAGGTCAGTTTTGAGCACCCAGAGTGTGCTTAAGGCCACCACCAGGGCTCCCAGGTGCTCAGAACCCACTGACTAAGGCACTGCCAGGGGGTCAGGGTATGGCCTTCAACTGGATCTGCCTGAGTGGGCCAGAAGTACATCCTGCCGGCTCACTGCCTGCTTCTGGGAACACACAGCACAATCATCACCATGGGCAATACACGCTTCTTGTTCACCATTTATGATGGCAGCGGTGGTGAAAACACAGAAAGACTTTTTAACTCATTTCATAAGGCTGAATAACTCAAACGGCTTCCTTCAGTCCACTTTCTGGGACACTTTTAAATAAGAGAAGTTGCAAGGGCATAATTGCCACTGCTGGACCCACCTGCAGCTGCTTTCTGGACAAGAAATGTTCTTTTTCAGTGCTGGGAATTAAACCTAGGGCTCTGCACATGCTCTGTACCGCTAAGCTACAGCCTTACCCCTGGCCATTTCCCTCTCTCCCTCTCTCTCTCCTTCCCTCCTTTCTTCCTTTCTTCCACCCTTCTCTTCCTCTTTGTCTCCCTCCCTTCTTTTCCTTTCTTCCTTCTTTCTTCCTTTCTTTTCTTCTTTCCATTTTGTTTAATTCCAGGTTGGCACTAAACCCAGGATCCTCCTGACTCAGCCTCCTGGGTGCTTGTCGCACATACGGGGCTTCGGAATGAGCATTTCCAATGAACATCATTCTGTCTCTCTTCTCCTACATTCTCCAAGCCTTCAACTCACCCCCAGGGATTGAGTCAATCATTTATGAATTCCTTCATTTTCAGCTCCTGTCCAGATGTTGCTACTGGGTGGGGAGGGCTCCCTAGCTCTATCTCTGTCACATGTGCCAGCCCACCTTCCCCTCCTCTTCCTTGCTTTACTCCCTACCCAGCCCAGGATCTGTCACCTCTGACATCCTAAATACTTGATGGGTTATTTATTCATCTGGCTTCTGTGTGAGTATGAGCTAGCGGGGAGGTGAGACTTTGCCTTCTGTATTCACAGCTGTCCTGCAGTGCTGTGACCTGAGCCGTCACATGAGAGACCCTCCAGGGACATTTCCAGAAGCAATGAATAAATGAAAGCTTAGTTTCCCAGCCACCATCCTTCACATCCCACCTGCAGGGTACTGCCCCAACTGCACCTGTGCTAGCACAATTGTATATGCCTGCAGTGCATTTTCTTCCTTCCTTTCTTTCTTGTTTTTTCTTTTTTCTTTTCTTTTCTTTTTTTTTTTTTTTTGAGATAGGGTCTCACTCTGCAGTCCAGGCTAGCCTTGAACTCAGTATGTAATCCAGCGTGGCCTCAAACTCATGGCGATTCTCCTGCCTCACCAGCTTACCAGTGCTGAGATTGTAGGTGTGTGCCTCACCAAGTCCAGCCTCAGCGTATTTTTTTTCTTTTTTGAGACAGAATCTTGCTATACAGTTCCGATTAGCCTTGAACTTACCATGTAGCCTAGGCTGGCCTCAAACTCATAGCCATCCTCCTGCCTCAGCCTCCCGAGTGCCGGGATTACATGGTGCGCTATTATACCCAGGTCTCAGTGCATTTAAAAAAAAAAAATGATTTCAAGTCGGGCATGGTGGTGCACGCCTGTAATCCCAGCACTCGGGAGGCTGAGGTAGGAGGATAGTTGGGAGTTCGAGACCAGCCTGTGCTATAAAGTGAGCTCAAGGTCAGCCTGAATTGCGTAGTGGGACTCTGTCTCAAAAAGACCAAAATAAATAAATAAATAGATAAAACATGATTTCAGACCTCCAGGAGGATCAAAGCCTTCTGACAGAATTTGAGATTCTCTCAAGACCTTCTCTGAGTGGCCCATTCAGTGCTTTTTTTTTTTTTTTTGTCTTTTTGTCTTTTTGAAACAGGATCTCACTGTGCAGTTCAGGCTGGCCTTGAGCTCACTTTGTAGCCCAGGCTGGTCTCGAACTTGCAACAATCCTCCTACCTCAGCCTCTCTCAGTGCATTTTTCTTACCTTCATCCACTTGGAAAACTCCTACTCATTCCTCAAGACCAGATCAAGTTTCATTTCCTCTTTATATACCTGATATCACACTACCTATATACTAGAGACCAAATCATGTCCCTCCAAGATTCATATGCTGAAATGGTAACTCCAGTGTGTCTGTACTTAGACACAAAATTATAAGGAGGAATTTATTTTTATTTTTATTTTTTTTTGAGACAGGGTCTCGATATGGAGTTCAGACTGGTCTTGAGCTCACTATGTAGCTCAGGCTGGTCTCGAACTCACAATGATCCTTCTGCCTCAGCCTCCCGAGTGCTGGGATTACAGGCATGTGCCACCATGCCCGGCCTAAGGAGGCAATTTTAAATGAAATGGCAAGGGCAGAGCTCCAATCTGATAGGTTCAGTGGCTTTACTAAAAGAGATAAAGTGACTCAGTGGTAGAGTCTCTCCATTGAGAAGGAGACACGTCCCTGGGTTCAATCCCTAGCACTGCAAGAAAGCGAGAGAGAGAGAGAGAGAGAGAGAGAGAGAGAGAGAGAGAGAGAGAGAGAGAGAGAAAGCCAGGCATGGTGGTGCATGCCTGTAATCCCAGCACTGGGGAGGCTGAGGCAGGAGAATTGCTGTGAACTAGAGGCTAGCCTGAACTACATAGCGAGACCCTGTCTCAAAAAGGGGTGAGGGGGACAAGAAAAGGATTCCTCATCTCTGCTCTCCATCCGAGAAGGAAGGTCATGAGCACCTAGCAATAAAGGCGGCCACCTACTGTGCAAGCCAGGAAGACAGCCCTCAAGGTCAAACCCAGAACACCTTGATGCTGAATACCCCAGTTTCCAGAACTTGAGAAATAAATGTCCTTTAAGCCTGCCAGTGTACCATCTTTTGTAGGGCAGCTTGAGCAGACGAATGTGTCCCTTCTACCTGGATGTGCCCAAGGCGCTGTATACTGCCAGGCGCTGCTGTAGGTGTTGGGGAAGTGGCAGAGGATGGGATGGCTCCCTGACCTCACGGCCCTCGTAATCGGGTGAGCAAGGGGAGCGGGGCGGGGGTTGTGGAGCCAAGCAGCCCGGCTAAGGCCAGGCACCGGGGGCGCACTGCGGGGTTGCGGGCCGCGGGCGGCAGGGGGCGCTCTCTCCGCCGCGCTGCCTCTCACGTGACCCCTCCGTGCGGCGGGGAGACCCGGTTTCCGGGGAGATGCCGGCCCGTGCGCTTGGGCTTCTGCGCTAAATAAACCGCTGCTCTCGATGAATTACCCAAGGTGTGGTATTCGGGTATAGCCGCAGAAAATGGGCTCAGGGGCGTCCCCACCTGGTGCAGGGCGTCCGCCCTATCCGTGTGCTTCTGCCGGCTGCGCTGGGCGGCCGCCCGGTTCTTCTGCTGCCTCTTCAGCTGCTTCTGACTCTCCGCGGGGTCCTGCGGGGCATCGCAGGGGCTCAGGCTCCCAGCGGGGGCGAGCGCCCCGGAGAGCGGCGTGGGCTGCCGAGTGCCCCGTCCCCCCAGAAGCCCTCTGGCTCCCCGGCGCCGCGCTCCTGCCTCTGCGGGCACCGCACACCCGGTGATGCCCGCGTCGCGCAGTGTCCTGCTCACAGCTCCCGTGGGGGCGAGGGTCAGTGGGTTCCGGACCCAGCCAGAACTGACTTCGAGCTGCACACTTGCCCAAGCCACGTTGCTCTGGGCTACTCGCTTCTCTGGGCCCAGCTGCTGCTTTTGTGCGAGGGAGGCACCACGGTCCCTCCTTCACTCGCCTCAAGAGGGAAGCCCGGGCAGCAGGCAGCCCAGAGCCAGGGTCAGTGGAGGGCAGCACTGTCCTTCCACTGCTGTCACTTCTCCGCCACCTTCACCGTGTTGCTGATATGCCTGACCAAGAGCTCTGTGATTCAGTTCCATATGCCCGTGCCCAGCTCAGGCCCAAAGCGGGCATTTAATTACTTAACAAACATTTATTAAGCGCCTGCTTTGTACGAGGCACTTAGGAGGACATAGCAGTGAACAAACAGAAGTCCCAGCGCTCACACTGCTCACATAGCAGTGGGCAGCAGCCCGGAAGGAAGGAATGGGAAGTCCTTCCTAACCAGGCGGTGGACCCGAAGGTTGGCAGCTGTGACCTTCCCCAGCTCTGAGGACCATGGAACTCAGTGAATGATTTAATCCAAATGTCCAGAGCTCTGGAAATTCAGGGCAAAGGGGACTGGTGAACACCTCACAGCTGATACCCGTATGACTCCAGAGGGGGCTGGTGTTGAGTATAAGGGTCCCAGGGAGGATGCTGCTCCCTGGCCGAGGACTCTGGATGCTCCTGGGATCGAAGCTGCAGCTCCACCCTGGCCCGAGCCTTGAGGGGTTCATGGCCACAGCAGGTGCGTTGCAGCCCTGGAGAGCTGGGAGACTAGAGGCTGGGGAAGGACCCGGATAATGAATGAGGGGCCCTTGAAGGGGAACTGGCGGTGGGGGCCGGAGGAGGGGAGGAAAGTGGCAGGGGAGAGCAGGCAGGTGGAGGCCAGGTCCTAAACCTTAGGCAGCAGGAGGGCCAAAAGCGCCTCATTCCAGTCCCCTCATATTCCAGGGGAGGAACTGAGACCAAAGAGGGGCTGTGTGGCGCCTGCCTGAAGTCACACAGCCACAGGCACAGAGCTGGGACCAGAGCTCTGGGCTGCATCTCTTGCTTCTGGGCCTGGGACCCTTGGGCACATCTCCTCTGACCTCTGCTTTTTTTTTTTTTCTTTTGCTAGTACAAAGGATTGGACCCAGGGATTTTCACTGAGCTACATCCCCAGCCACACACACACCCCCGCCTTTATCTCTTTACATTTTGAAACAGGGTCTCACTAAGCTGCCTACACTGGCCTTGAACTGGACTTGTGATCCTCCTGCCCCAGAGTGCTGGGAGCAAGGCGTGTGCCCCCGCGCCTGGCCACATTCCCTTTGTCACCCCCGGCCCTCGTCCCTGTACTCACTGTCCTGGTCAGCAGTGCGTCTCCCTGGCAGAGGTGCATGGCTCAAGCAGGGGGAGCAGAGAGTCACACTGGTCCCAAATGTCCCCTAGCAGCTATGACCTCCCAGTGCCCTCTGGGGGCCCAAGGAAGTGGTGGCTACTTAAACCCCAGTGACCACTCCGCCCCCAACAAGCCCAGTTTCAGTTTCTCCTAAAGCCACCGGCTGCTCAGAATCCCTGGCTCAGAGTGGCTCGAGTGGGTGGAACTTCCTAGCACAAACTGGCCTTCCGGTTAGGCCCCTGCTTTGCAAGCAGGGCTGTGGAAGGGCAAGAGGAGGGAAGAGAAAGGCCAGGTGTGGGAGGGTATTCTGGGGAGGGAGGAAGCCAAGAGGAGAAGTCGCTGGAGTCCCAGGGTTTATGTGGGCTGTGGGAAAGCCCCTGTGCTCTGTGGGGGACCCCAGATCCACAGCTCACATTGGAGCTGTGCAACTTCAAGAAGATGGGCTGGGGATATAGCTCAGTGGCACGGGCGCCTGCCTGGCAAGTGCAAGGTCCTGAGCTTGATTCCTGGTACCAAAAAAAAAAAAAAAAAAAAAGGTGACTCATCTTCTCTGAGCCTTAATTTTCTCATCTGTAAAGGATATGGGTGGGGTGGTACAAAGTCCCAGATTTAATGGAAGAACTAAAGGAACTAATACAACCACCCCAAATCCTCTGAGATCAATCTCAAGGTATGTCTTAAAAAACAAGCAATGTCCTTTAAAGAGAAGAGATGGAAAAATTACTGGTTTCATACAGCAGATTATGCAGTGGTGGAAAATTTAATGTGGGGTGAGTAGCCCAGCTTCCAAGCTGTGTGACTTGGGTAGGTAATTTCACCTTCCTGTGCTATTTCTTAATTTGTAAAATGAGGATAAAATCCTTTTGTGGTTTTTCTTCTTCTTCTTTTTTGTACTGGGAATCAAACTCAGGACCTTGTGCTTATCAGTCAGGCGCTGTGCTGCTGAGCTATATCCCTGGCCCATTTTGTTGTGAAGATTAAATGAGTTTAACACCAATGCGAGGGCTGGATGTGGTGGCGCACGCCTGTAATCCCAGCCCTCGGGAGGCTGAGGCAGGAGGATTGTTGTGAGTTCAAGACCAGCCTGGGCTACAAAGTGAGCTCAAGCCCAGCTTGAACTGTATAGCAAGACCCTGTCTCAAAAGGACAAAATAAAATAAAATAAACACCAATGCAGCACCTGAGATCATGCCTCATGTGGAGTAAGACCTTAATAATCATCTGCAATTCTGATGTGGTGGGAGATTGGAAACCAGGTTTATCATCAGGCCTAAATGTCCAAAACAAGCTGGGCATAGTGATGCAGGCCTGTGATCTCAGGACCCTGAGAAGCTGAGGCAGGAGGACTGCAAATTCGAGCCCAGCCTGGGGAATTTAGCAATTTAGCAAGATCCTGTCTCAAAATAAGAAGAAAAAAAAAACCCAAAAAACATAGCAAGACCTTGTCGCAAAAAAAAAAATAAAAAGAAAAAGAAAAAGAAAAAGAAAAAAATTTAAAAGGATGTAGTTCAGTGCAAAGGTTCTGGGTTCAATTCTCATTACTGAAACAAACAAGCAGCTGGGCATGGTGGTGCACCCCTGTAATCCCAGCACTGGGAGGCTGAGGCAGGAGGGTCGTTGTGAGTTCGAGACCCATCTGGGCTACAAAGTGAGCTCAAAGCCAGCCTGAACTGCATAGCGAGACCCTGTCTTAAAAAAAAATTGGGGGGGGGCTGGGGATTTAGCTCCGCAGCACAGTGGCTGCCTGGCAAGTGCGAGGTCGTGAGTTTGATTCCCGGTACCGGAAAAAAAAAAAAAATTTTTTTTTTTTTTTAAAGAATGATGGCAGGAAAGAGGAGGGATGGCTGACAGGGACAGACATAGGGACTTTGGTGGCCTGTGAGATTTGTTTAATTGCTCTGTGGCATTGTTACCTACACTTTGAAATGGTTCATAATAAAAGCTTCCTTTGAAGACCTAGCAGACCCGGAAGCTCCTGGAAAACTGCAGGTTGTTGTCTCTGAGGGAGAACAGGTTCAGATGAGGCATCTGTTGCGGGGACGGAAGAGCTAGTAGCTCCTATCAGAATGAATATGCAGTGTATAGGAGCCCATCGTCTGGCAACGAGAGCATGTTGAGGTTGTGCCTGAGCTCTGAGGGCTCAAAGCTAACAATGTGGGCTCTCGAGGATGACATATACTACAGATATAGTTTTCTGACAGGAGATAGTGCCTATGTGTTTTCTTCAGGAATTTGCAGCTGCCTCTGAGTTTATCAGAAAAGACGGGTGCAAGTGATTGGCAGTGTGTGCCACACAGGGATTGATTACTGATGTCTGCCATGAGCACAGGTGGAGATGTTGCAATATTCTGTCCTCCCTGACCAAGGCCTAAAGCTGGCCTGGGCTTCAGAGTTAGAAGTTTGGACTCAGAGTCACGAGTCTGCTCACTGCACTTACCCCTCACAACCTCAGTGATCACGTATGTACACTGGGGATGACGATGAAATCAGGCGTATTATACAGAATTGTGCTGAAGAGGGGAGTGACTGAGATGAGCAGAAATGTCTTTGGATGTTGTAAAGTACTGTTCACCCAGATGCAGTCTACCCACCCAAGTCCTGGAGCGACATAGTCTAGATTCTAGGACTGAGCTGCAGGCTCATTAGATATGGCTGAGTGGGCAGAATTGGGAGTCCCTGCCTCTCACTTCCGAGGAGTCTGGGGGCAGAGGTTGATCTCGGACACCCATGAAGGGAGATTGCGCCTATTTCTGGGAATTATTTTTGTTTCCTGATCATCAGGAGGACTGGGGCGTCTCGCCTATGGTGGGCACCTGAGGGGCTCATTAAACCAGTCGTCTAGCCCCACAGGAATCTGGCAGAGGTGTGTCATGACGTAACCCCCCAAAACACTGGTGGGCAGGAGGCTAAGGCCCGAGCGCAGTCAGGCCCCCAGCCCAACCTGTACTCCCAGCCCCAGCCCCTGGCTCCAGGTAGAAGGTACACAGTCAGCAGGTGTGGCTCTCCCAGAGGCCACAGCCCTGAAGGAAAGCAAAGGAGATAGTGTTTATGGCTTGATCTCCCTGAGGAGACTGCCAGGCGAGGGAGTGGCAGGGAGGGAGGGGTGCATGGATGAATAATGTTTAACCAGGAAGCTTCCCCAGAGGGAGTCTGACCACTGGTGTCCTGGTCAGCTAGGCTGTGTGGCTTAAACAACAGCCATTTATTGCCCAAAGTTCTAGGGGCTGGGAGTCCAAGAGCAAGGTGCTAGCAGATCTTGTTCCTGGTGAGTGCCTCTGGCTTGCTGATGCTGCCCTCTTGCTGTGTCCTCACATGGCAGAGAAAGTTGTGGTTGTTCTGTCTTCCTCTCCTCCTCCTCTTTTCCTTTTTTTTTTTTGAGACAAGGTCTCACACTGTAATTCAGGCTGATCTTAAATTCACTATGTAGCCCAGGCTGACCTTGAACTTACAGAGTTCCTCCTGCCTCAGCCTCTTGATTGCTATGATTACAAGCATGCGACACCACACCTGACTTCTTTGTCTGTTTTAAAAATTAAGTTTATCAGTTCATTTTAGGTATATGCAATGATCACGATCACGTTCATCACAGGAAATTTGTACCTGTACATGATATAACTTGATTCTTTTTCCCAATTCCCTACCCTCCCTTCAACCCTTCTTTCCTTTCTTATTTACAAAAACTTTGTTTCCATTTTTTCCTTCTCTTCTAATTTTTTTCTTTTCCCTCCCTTCTTACTTTCTACCTCCCCCCTCCCTAGTTCCCCTTCCTACTTGAACATTTTCTTCCTATTTCACAATATCTTTATACATTTGGGTCCTTATTTACACTTCCAGTTTCTCACAATGTGGTATTTACATGTTTGTGTCTGATTTATTTCCCTTAAGAGTATGTTCTCAGCCAGGTATGGTGGCACATGCCTGTAGTCCCAAGCACTTGGGAGGCTGAGTCAGGAGGATCCTAGGGAGTTCAAGGCCAGCCTGGGCTACAAAGTAAACTCAAGGCCAGCCTGAATTGCATAGTGAGACCCTGTCTCAACAAGACAAAAAAATTAAATAAATAAAGAGTATGTTCTCAGCCAGGCATGGTGGCACATGCCTGTAATCCCAGCACTCCGGAGGCTGAGACAGGAGGATCTTTGCGAGTTCGAGACAAACCTGGGCTACAAAGTGAGTTTAAGACCAGCCTGAACTGCATAGTGAGACCTGTCTTTTTGAGAACAAAGAGTTCTCAAAGAACAGAGTATGCTCTCAAGGTGTACTCATTTACCTAGAAATGTCTCAGGCTTATCCTTCCTTATGGCAGAATAGTACTCCACTGTATAAAAAAAAACAAACCACATCTTCTTTATCCACTCACCAGTTGATGGGCATTTGGGCTGTTCCCAAGATTTAGCTATAACAAACTGTGCTGCTATAAACATGGGTGTGCATATATTGCTGTGGTATGATGCTTTTAATTCTTTCTGGAAGATACCTAGAAGAGGAATAGATGAGTCGAATGCAACCTCTAGTTGTGGTTTTTTGAGGGATCTCCACATTAATTTCTACAGTGGTTGTACCAGGCTACACTCCCACCAATGGAGAAAGGTTCCTTTTTCCCCACAGCCCCGCTAGCATTTGTGTTTGGTTGATTTATTCATAATAGCCATGCTTTCTGGGGTGAGATGGAATCTCAGTGTTGTTTTAATTTCATTTCTTTTTTTTTTTTTTGGTCCCAGGAATTGAACTCAGGACCTTGCACTTGCCAGGTAGGCACTTATGGCACTGAGCTATATCCCTGGCCCTAATTTACATCTCTTGAATGACCAATGATGTTGAACATTTTTTTCTTGTATTTATTTGCCATATCTACTTCTTCATCTTAGAAGTATCTATTCATTTCAGATGCCCATTTTTGGGTTGGACCTTTAAATTTGGGTGTCTGATATTTTTCTTTTTTGGGTACCAGGAATCAGGATCTTGCGCTTGCCAGGCAGGTGCCTTGTCACTGAGCTATATAACTGGCCCAGGGGGCCTGATTTTATGGAGTTCTTTATATATGTGTAATTCAGGCTGGCCTTGAATTCACTATGTAGCCTGTGTTGGCCCTGTAATCGCAGCAATCTTCCTGCCTCAGCCTCCCATGTGCTGGGATCATAGGTGTGCACCACCACACCTGGCCTATTCTTTGTCTTCGCAGGACCTGAATCTCATCGGAATCCCACTCTCATGTCGTCATCTAAACCTCGTTATCTGCTAAAGGGCCATGGCCAAAGGCCATCATACTGAACACGGAGGCTGGTGCTTGAACGTGTGAGTTTTAGGGGACACAGACATTGAGTCTGTTACAGAGAGGGAGGAACCTGATACCTAGAGAGGCGAGGTCACCCCCTAGGGGGAAGAAGTGGAGGTAGAACACAACTTCTGGCTTGTGAGTCCTGAGTCCCTCATACTCAGCTTGGCAAGGCTGCCTGTCAGTCCAGCAGCCCTGCCGGGTAGAGGCTCAGAGGCCTCTGAAATGTCAGTTACAAAGAGATCAACTGAGGCCAGGGTATGGTGGTGTACACCTGTAACCCCAGCACTTAGGAGGCTGAGACAGCCTTTTACATGTCCTAAGCCTTTTTTACATTTTTATTTCATCAAATCCTTATGTATCATCTCCAGTTTACAGAGCTAGCATAAAGAGGTTAGATAAGTGACTTGCCCAAGAAAAGTTCCTGGCGCTGGGATGGAGCCTCTTCATCCTTCAGTGTCGCTTCCAAAGAGTGCTGCTCTGGAAAGCCTTCCTTGACCTTCAACAGGAAGTGGCCCCCCTTCAGGAAGTGAGCTCCCCAGCTGGTATGTCCCACACCCCCTGAGTTTTAAACACCACCCACCTGACGTTAGCTCCCGGGGCCCTGTCCGCAGTTTTAGACAGGGAGCCCTCAGCCAGCTGCAGTCCCACCAGCATCCGTCTGGCTTCCTCCTCCTCTGCTCATCTTCTATGGCACGTGTGGGTACCCTGACGAGGCCAGGCCTGAGGGAGGGATGCGCGTGGTGGAGGACCTAGCCCAGGAGGCCCTCGTCCCTGTTCCCCTGGAGACCCAGGCATCTGCCCAACACTAGGAGGTGTGGGAAGAACTTGGGACGAGGCATCCGTGTATCCTGGCTTCTGCCAAACAGTCCCCACCCTTTGCCTCAGTTTGGTAAAATAAGGAGGTTGACAGAGGGAGTCCTTCAGGCAGCCAGGGCAGAACCTGTGTGAGTGAGTAAAGCAGAAGTTTCTTAGGGATGTTTTAGGGATCCCTGGATGAAAAGCTTCCTTGGCTTTAATTCATTTCTTCACTAACTGAACATGTATTATGTGATGGCAGTGCCTGAGGAATAGGAGATTCTCCAGGGAGCAAAACGGGCAAAGATCTTGCTGCTCAGTTGCTCATTTGTGTGTGTGTGTGTGTGTGTGTTGCACATGCACGTGGGTTTTTTTGGTTTTTTTTTTTTTTTTTTGTTTTCGAGACAAAGTCTTGCTATGTAGTTCAGGCTGGCCTTGAGCTCACTGTGTATCCCAGACTGGCCTCAAATTCACAGTGATCCTCCTGCCTCAGCCTCCCAAGTGCTGGGGTTACAGGTATGCACCACCACATCCAGCCTATTTGTTTTGTTTTTTTGAGACAATGTCTTGATGTGTAGTTCAGGCTGGACTTGAACTCACAAGATCCTCCTACCTCAGCCTCCCGAGTACTGGGATTACAAGTTTGCATCACCAAACCTGGTTCTTGTTATTGTTATTTAAGACAAAAACAAGGGGTGTAAGAACAGAGATGGGATCCTCCCACCCACCCACCCATGAAATGTCCCTTTGATGGGGGAAAAGCAAAATCTTGAAAGCTCCCTAGGGCTGACTACATTCTCAGGCAGGACCTGCTCTTGATAGTGAGATGACCGTGAGAAATATTAGTTTAGCTTCATCAGGAGGGGGCCACGCCCCTCAGCCCCACCTGGGGAACTTTCCCAATAGTGCTGGAGAAGATCCCAGGCCAGATTTCCCTGGACTGACTTGGGGCTTGTGCATACTCCTCACTTCAGTCTCTGTAGCCAGGCTGAGGTGAGAATGGCAAGCCGGAGTGGCAGGCTCATTCTGAAGCCAGGACGGGGGCAGCCAGATCTACACCACAGGCACTGGAGGCGGGTGGTGGACTTGTGTCCCCGTATGTCTCTGACACCCAGCCTGGCGCCCTCTTTCTGTTGCTTTGCAGCTGCCTGAGCTGAGAGGAAGGTCCCAAGGGTCAGGGCCCTCGTCAGGACAGCAAAGTCTCGCTGCGAGGATGAATGAGATGAGCTGTGTCCTGGGCAGGGACGGGGACACTGACTGCCAGGGCACAGCGGGGGAAGGACTGACTTTCACTTTCAGCAGCAGCACACTGTGAGCCCTTGAAGAAGCCAGGCTGCAAACAGCCTGGCCTGCCACAAACAGGATGATTCCCCTCAGGTGCTATGAAGTCACCATTGTCGTTGGGCAGGGGTGGGCAGTGGCAGCCCAGAAGAAGTGGGAGGGGGCACACGTCCCAGCACGCAGCTCCGGCCCTGACCCCTGTCCTGCTGGCTCTTTGCTGCCTCCAAAGCTCTGTGCCTCTGGCTCTCTGCTGTACCTCCAGTGCACGCATCTTTCCAGGAAGCCGACGGCAGCTTTTGGAAGTGCGTGGGGAGCATAAATAATAACCAGCTTCGAGTCATCAGCATCCAGAGCACTGTGGGATGTGGCAGCTGTGACCACAGCTCCCGGATGTGGCTGGTCGGTCCTGACCCCGGAGAGACCTGGGCTCAAGTGCTTATGCTGCCACTGACAGCTGCGTGTCCTTGGTGTGTGACCTGGGCTCTTTGGGGTTCGGCGTGCAAAATAATAATACACTTACTTTGCCAGCACTGTCATGGTGGCTGAAGCCACACATGGAAAGCTGCCACCATGAACTCAGAAAGGCGAACCCCCCTCACTCCTGTGCCAGTGACTGAGAGACAAGAAGGCCTCCCAGGGAGGTGACTGTGGGGGAATGGCCAGCTGGGGTCTTGGAGCAGGGCCTAGAGGCAAACAGCCTGTGCCCCGCTGTGCCCAGGCTGCACTGGAGTGGGGCTGGGAAGAAAGCACAAGCCAGCCGGCCAGAGACTCACAAGGCCACAGACACGACCGCGCTGCCCTTGGTGTACCCAGCACCAACACTGGTGGCCTGGATGCAGGGGGTTAGGGCCAGGCAGGTGGGCAAGTAGTCACAGCCAGAGGACCAGAGATTGTCCATTTGGCTTCCTGGTTTTGCAACTTGTAGAACCAAGGTTCAGCAGGAGGAGGGGACATGGCCAGGTTTAAGGAGGTAGCAGAACCCAGTGGACCATGTCCCACCACACCTCAGCCTGCTCTTCCCATCTTAGTCCTTGGAAAGCCAACAAACATCTTGGGGCACTGGGGTGGCAACAGTGGGGTCAAAGGGCACCCTCAGAAGAGCAGGGAGGACACATGTGGTGGTTCATGCCTCTAATCCCAGCACTTGGAAGGCTGAGGCAGGAGGAGCAACACAAGTTCTAGGCCAGCCTCGACTACAGTGTGAGTTCAAGACCAGCCTGAACTGCACAGCGAAACTGTCTCAAAAAGACAAAAAAAAAAAAAAACAAAAAAACAGGGAGCATTTGTACCTGCTGAAGGTCAGCAGGGGAAGACCTGAGGGTGCCCTGTTGAGGATGGGGCCTCTCAGAGCAGGGTCCTGAAAGCCGATGGGGTTCCCACCAAAAGAAGGACTGGAGAGGGTCTTGGGAGATAGGGGCACATCTGCAGTTTCTGTGCGCCCAGCTCCCAGGCTCACAGAGCCCCGCGCCTTCTCTGGGCCTCAGTTTCCTTGCAGCATGGAAATGGCCCTTTTCCAAACAAGGCCAGGACAAGAAACTCTGGGCAGGAAACCTGGGCTCCTCTCTAGGTACTGCCTGTACCTGCCCTCCCTCCCAGACTCTGTCTCACTTCTGACCCCTGTGGGGACAGGGTTCCCCAGGCGGGGCTACTGCGGGAGCTAGAAGTGGCGGTATCTCCAAGGGTGAGGTCTGGGTCTGCCTTGGTTTGGGAGGCAGAGAAGCCCAGGGGTGAAGGACAAAGCTGACCAAGCTGCGCAAGCAGCCACAAAGACTTAACCACCCTCTGTCCTGGTCCCTAGCACTCAACAGAGATTTAAATACTGAGATCAGGCAAGGCCTCGCTGAGATATTGGCACCAAAAATGCTTTTATGGAGAGTGGAGGCACACTGGACATTTAAACAAAGACATGAAGAGACCGGGATTGTCTGGGGGTGGAGGAGGGTAGACCTGGGACACCAGAACTGAGATGGGATTGGGAAAGTGCAGAGCAGGAGGTTAGGCAGCAAGAGAATAATGGGGCCCTTCGGCAGGCGCAGAAGACCTTGGGCTTTGGGACCAAGGAGGAACAAAAACAGATACAAGGGCTGGGGGTGTAGCACTGTTGCAGAATCTGTACCAAACCGGATGGAAAACACTCTGCACCAAGGAGTTGGAAGGCAACTTTTATTATGCTGGTGGGAATCAGATCCAAGTCACCAGCCTCAGCTTAGAGTAAAATAGCAACTTATATACATTTTGTAAGCAGGTGGTACAAAGTTGGTAATGGGTTATTCAATAATTGGTTGCAGTTTTGGTCACATGTTGTCAGGCAAATGTGTCCAGGGCAGGTTTAGTTACAGGGGCCATTCATCATGAGGTGGGGAGATCTCGGGGAAGTTAGAGTCCAAGCAAGTGGGTAAGATTTAGTGTGACCTTCACAGGGCTGGCCTGTCCTGGGCAGACAGTTCTTGAAACAAGCTAGCAAAACAGGATATGTTTGTAGGCTATTGTGCAGCTGGTCAGATAGAGCTGAGTCAAATTATCTCTGAGTTGCAGCCAAGTAGTTAGTCAAGGCCCGCTGAGTCTGACGGACCAATTATGAAGCTATAATTTAAAATTTTTTCTATTACAGCATGAGCAAGTCCTGAGTTCCATCCCCAGTGCCAAGACACAGCCCCTGCACCTCGGGACGGGAAGGGGAGCAGAGAACTGCTCGGGGCTGCCGCAACCGTCCAGGTGGAGTGGAGGAGACAGCTTGCTGAGAGAGGTCCAATAGAGCCTGGGGACCTGGCAGGCATCTGCAGCCACTGTAGTGCCCAGCCCCCCGTGGGACCGGAAGCAGCAGCAGAGCCTGCTCTTGAGGAGAGGTGGACACAGCTGTGGCATGGGGAGAGTTTCAGGTCCGCCCCAACATGTAGGTTCTGGCAGAGCCTGAGATGTCATGTGCTCCTGGCACAAGGCGAAGTGAGGGCTCCTTATGTCCTCTGGAAGGTGGATGGTGCCTCCTCTGCCTCCCACACCAGGCGGCTGGGCTTAGACCTGTAGTGGAGACACTCGGACTGCCCGATTTATCCTTTGGGGCATTCAGCCATGCTCTGCATGTTGTATGTACACCTCTACTCAACAGTCAGTCCCCAGCACTGGGCACAGGGCACAGGGCTACCCTGGGTGCTGGAGATCCCCAGGGAGACAAGGGCCGGCAGTGCTATGGCAGGTCAGGGCAGAACTGGTCTGTGTGCATCTTGCCATCTCAGCATTTAAGCTGTACATTCAACCATCCAGTTTTTTTGTTTTGTTTTGGTTTGGTTTTGGTTTTTTGAGACAGGGTCTCACTGTGTCGTTCAGGCCTTGAACTCACTACATAGCCCAGGCTGGCCTTGAACTCACAGTGACCCTCCTGCCTCAGCCTCCCAAGTGCTGAGATTACATCTGTGAACCACCATACTTGGCAACCATCCAGTTCTTTGTTTACTGATGAATAGGACCAAACCTACACATAGGTATGCTACAATCAAGTGCGGTGGATGTCTCTGCCATGGGCACGTGGTCCAAAATATAGGACGTGCATAATAGGTGTGTCTTTTTTTGGGGGGGTGCGTCTTTTTGAGATAGGATCTCCTTGTGCAGTTTAGGCTGGCCTTAAGCTCACTTTGTAGCCCAGGCTGGTCTCAAACTCACAACGATCCTCTTGCCTCAGCCTCCTGAGTGCTGGGATTACAGGCATGCACCACCGTACCCAGCAGATGCGTGATACCAGAGAGAAAGACAGGTTTTCTCTCTTCTTGTTAAAATTGTAACGTTATTTTCCTTTACTTTTTGCAGTGCTGTGGATCAAACCTGGAGTTTTGCACTTGGAACATGAGTGCTCTACCCCTGAACTATATCCCTGGCTCCTGTCATTTTATTTTAAACAATCTAAGATGGAGGAATAAAGCAGAGAGTTTATCTAGAGTAAGCTTTAAAATAAATATTTAGATATACAAGTAAAAAAATAAAATATATACACTTCTTGCTAATATTTAATGATTAGTAATTATAATTCTTTTAATGGTAGTAAAGTTTTATTAAGGTAGGAAAAGAAACAGGCTCTGCAGAGAGAGTTTGGGCCAAGTAAAAGTAGGAAAAGAAGTACACCCTGCAGCGTGAGGCCGGCCACCATGAAAAGAAAGAACACAGTAGCCAGCGGTCATAATTTACGCATGGTCTTTTCTCCTAGGTTTTCCCCTTTTGATTCTAGAATAAGTTTTATTATTTTTCCTTATTATTATAAAGATTATGCAAAAAACCGATTATCTACGAAGAATAGCCGATTAAAATTCTATACCATTTTTATTATTTATTTATTTTTGTCTTTTTGAGACGGGGTCTTGCTATGCAGTTCAGGCTGACCTTGAGCTCACTTTGTAGCCCAGGCTGGCCTCGAACTCGCAACGATCCTCCTGCCTCAGCCTCCCGAGTGCTGGGATTATAGGTGTGCACCACCACACCTGGCTCTATATCCTCTCTTTTTGAGACAGGGTCTCACTGTGCACTCAAACATAGCAGGCTTTGAACTCACTATGTAACACAGGCTGGCCCCAAATATACAGTGATCCTCCTGCCTCAGGCTCCCAAGTGCTGGGATTATAGGCATGTATCACTATGTCCAGCTCTTTTTTATATTTTTGAGAGAGTGTCACTATGTTACCCAAACTGGCCTTGAACTCCTGGGCTCAAGAAATCCTCCTACATCAGCCTTCCAGGTAACTAGGATTATAGGCATGCACTATCATATTCAGCAAAATTAAACCTATAATACCAAATTTGAGTGTTTTTTTTGTTTTCCTTTGGTTTTTTGACACAGAGTCTCACCATGTAGTACAGGATAGACTTGAACTGGAGCCCAGGTTGGCCTTGAACTTGAGGCAATCCTTTTGCCTCAGCCTCCTGAGTGTGGTGATTACAGGCATGTGCCACCATGCTCGGTTATGATACCAATTTTTTTTTTGTCTTTTTGAGACAGGGTCTCAGTATGCAGTTCAGGCTGGGCTTGAACTCACTTTGTAGCCCAGTGATCTAGAACTCTACCCTCAAGTTACAATCCACTTCGCCCTAAGAAGTTCTTTCAAAAGCAGATTTCACAGGATTTGGTTATTTTAATTTCATGATCCTTCTTGTAGGGGGGAAACAAGATATATATAAAACTGTTATATATAACTATAGCTCTATATGTCTTCTTCCCAGTTCTTCTCTAGAGGTATTTCCCAGAGTTTTTGTGAGCTCTTCCCTCCTTTCCAAGAGGCAAATAAAAAGCCTGGCATAGGCCTCTACCCTATCCATTTTTTGATTGTGGCACTGGGGATTGATCCCTGGGCCCCTGTGCTGAGCTACATTCCCAGCCCTTTTCTGGAAACAGAGTCTTGTTAAATCAGTCACTCAGCTGCCCAGACTGGTTTTGAGCTTGTAATCCTCCTGCGCTAGCCTCTCAGAGTGCTGGAATTACAGGTGTGTGCTACCACGCCCAACATTACCCTTCGCCCAGTTATTTCTTACCTAAGGATAATTGCTCAAAAATTAACCCCAAGCGAGGCATGGTGGCACACACCTGTAATTCCAGCACTCGTTAGGCTGAGGCAGAAGGATCCCTTTGAGTTTGAGGCCAGCCTGGGTTACACAGTGAGTTCAACGCCAGCCTGAGCCGCATAATGAGACCCTGTCTCAAAAAGACAAACGAGAAAGAAAGAAAAGAAAGGAATGAATGAATGAATGAATAAGGAATGCTGGGGATATAGCTCAGTGGCACAAGTGCCTGCCTTTCAAGCACAAGGTCCTGAGTTCGATTCCTGATACAAAAACAACAACAACAACAACAAGAAAGGAAAGGGAAAAAAAAAAAAAAAAAAAAAAAAGAAAGAAAAATTCTACTGTGTGGCTGCTGGGAAGCCACAACAGCTTGGGCAGGCGGGATTTGGAGCCTGACATTTAAATAACTATTTCAAGGCTGGTGGCAATGAAAAAGAAAAACACTCCAGAAGTGCTTAACATAGTAATTTTGAATTCCCCCCAGATTTATTTCTTGGCAGTAACTGCTAAATTGCAGTGATTTTCACACATCTGTGACTGTGACTCACAGTGAGATAAATAGGTCACTGAACTCTACCTGGAGAAGGTAGTAATGTTTTCTGTTCTGTTCATTCTACTTAATTTTTGTTAATGCTACTAAATGGAATCCCACGAAACCAGTGTCTTTGTAGTCAAAATCATTGAGTACTAGCAATTTACACAGTTCGCCCTGTGACACTGATTTCACAGTGCACTTAGGGACTGCATCCCATTCTTTGAAAAACATTGCTTAGGAAGTATATGTACAGTGATGGTTATTTAAAAAAGAAAACAGGATTGAAATTTGTTCTTTCACTTAATATAGCATGTGACACCCACAGGTGTCACAGCTTCACCTCACCTGCTTTTGTTTGTTTATTTGTTGTTGTTGTTTTGAGACAGGATCTTGATTTGTAGTCCAGGCTGGCCTTGAACTAGCAGAGATTTTCCTGCCTGGCATCCTGGGTGCTGGGATTATAGGTGTGTTCCACCACACCCGGCCACCTTGCCTTTCTTTTTTTCTTCTTTTTTCTGTCTTTTTGAGACTGGGTCTCACTATGCAGTTCAGGCTGGACTTGAACTCACTTTGTAGCCCAGGCTGGTCTCAAACTCGCCACGATCCTCCTGCCTCAGCCTCCTGAGTGCTGGGATTACAGATGTGTGCCAGCACGTCCAGCCACTTTGCCCTTCTTAAAGGCTTCATGGAATCCAGCACCTGCTCCAACCCTAGCGCAGTTAACCAGCCCTCACTGTGGGCACGAAGGATTTCCCCAGCTCTTGCTGTTCCAAGACAGGGCAGAATGAACTTCCTTGTCAACAGTGTTCAAGGGCAGTGTTCATAGCCTAGATTCCTAGAGGAAAGATGGCAGGATGACAGCCCCCTGTGGTCTGGGCATTTCCCATTTGGAATTTAGCTGGGTTCTGAAGCCTCTGAGGAGTTATGCTCACTTCTCTCTTAGTGTGTCATCGATGGAGGGCAGCTGGTATCCATTCAAGGGACACACTGTACCACCCTCTCTGTCCAGCTTCATCTGCCCACCGCCTCCCTCTGCACCATGGGAAACTCGGCCCCTTCCCAATCCCTCCCTCTTTGGGAAGACTACCCCAAGCACTCAGAAAGTCAGTGCACTTTACTGTCAGCCAGACCTGAGTCCGGATCTCACCCAAGCTCCTTCAGCTCTCTGAGCTTCATTATCACGTCTACAAAAAGCAAAGAAAGCTTTCAGGGTTGCAGGAGGATGAAGAAGACAAAAAGTGGGTTGTAAACGGTTACACAGGAGTTGGCCACTATCTTCAGCGACCACTGCTGTTCCTCCCAGGATGACACAGGCCATCAGAGCTGCCTACTGATAATTACTCTATAGGGGACTGGAGGAAGGCCTAGAAATAAGGCTAGGGTCTCACTCCTCCAAGTTTACAATCTGCTTCATCTCTGACCTCAGTTTCCTCACTTTCTCTGCATTTCTTTTTGTGTTCATTTGTTTTAGACAAGGTCTCGCTATATAGTCCAGGCTGATTTTGAGCTCGCTATGTAGCCAAGGGTGGCCTTGAACTCATGTCGATCGTCCTGCTTTAGCCTCCTTACTGCTGGGGTTATAGGCGTGCGCCACCATGTCAGGTTTCTCTGCACTTCTTGAGCACCAAAATAAAGAACAAAGTCTTGGGAAGTCATAGAACAAGAAACATTTATTAGGGCCGGAGATATAGCTCAGCGGCACAAGCGCCTGGCAAGCGCAAGGTCCTGTGTAGGGATCCCTTGGGTTCCTGCTGTACCCCGGGAAGGAACAGCAGTGAGCCTGAGGAAAAATTAGACAAGAGACAAAAAGCTGGGATCAGGTGGAGGTCTCAGCTCTTCTGAGTGAAGAAGGGAAACCCGACCAAGAGCCGTAGAGCATTTATTTATACCCTCGAGAGGCTGACTGATTTCAGCCTCGCTACCTAGCAGTTAACAACCTACAACGGCTTGTTTACATGCTTCGAGGAGCTCCCGTGTTCTCGGGCTGGCTTCGTCCTGCACATGTAATTATTTTCCAGCTTCAGTGGCTCCCAACTGTCCTGAGTTCAATTCCCGGTACCAAAAAAAAAATTAAATAAATAAAATAAAAATTATGGTCTCAAGAAACATTTATTGAGCACCTATTACACGCCAGCCATGTGCTAAGCTCCACCTGGGCCTCACTAGCTCATCCGGAAGAGGAGGAATTACACTTCTCAACCCGAAGCTTTGGCACTTTAGGCGGTACATTTCTTCATGCAGGCCTGTTCCCTGCACTGCAGCGCGCTGAGTCCTCTAAATGACAAGGACTCTGTTCTGTCACTGGAACACATAGTCGCCCCACGCACACTTCGAAATGGCCTCTAGAGGGCATTAGCGCCCTTGACTGAGAATCTATGCGAGGCAGAGGAGAGCGGGAGGCCCATTTTTTGCTCCATCACTGGTACATTTAGGATGATGCCAGAGCCCCAAAATGTGCAGGACTTGGCCCCCGTTTCCAGGGAACAGGGTCAAACACTGGCCCGGGATGAGCTCGCCAATACCTCTGGGTCGGAACCCCTCGGCAGGAAGTCTCCACCCAGCCGAGATGCAACTCGGGAACTTCAGGTTCGCGTTCCCAGCCGGGTCCACGGGTCCTGGGGGAGGGGCGGGGGGAGCCCTTATGCCTCTAAAGTCCGGCCCCCGAGAGGCTAAGGGTTAACGCGTGGGCCGCGCAGAACCCCAGCTACCGCTAGAGGATGCTCTGCTGTGAGGCTTCCGGACGCTCGCGGTCACGTGATGATGGGGCGGGACCAAAAGAGCAGGCGGCCAGTTGGCTGTGCTGTTCGTGGGTACGGTGGCCAATAAGAACAGGGAGTGGGGTCCCGGGCCTAAAGGAATCGACAAGCGGGAGGGGGCTACGGGACCATGGGCCTTTTGACCATCCTGAAGAAGATGAAGCAGAAAGAACGGGAGCTGCGACTGCTCATGCTGTATCCTCCCGGGGGCCGGGGCCGCGAGGGTAGGGGGGTCTCGCTGGGCAGGCGCCCCCTCCCGGGCGCGATGTGCGGCCGCCGGCCGGTGCCAACCGCCTACAGTGCGACCTGCACGTGGGACCTACCACTCGCTCCGAGGCGGAGGGGGGACTGTACCGCCGGCAGGGGCGGGTGGGTCTCGGGGCGCAAGGCCAAAGGCGAGGTCCTCAGGGCCCCGCGCAGGACCGACGTCCCCGGACGAGGCGCGCTCGGGGGACTCGGACGTCGCTATCCTCGCTGCAGCCGGAGCGTGGGCCCTTGGCCTCCCGGCCCCGACCCCCACCCCGTCCGAAGATGCCGGTGCGGCCCCGCCCTCGGGTCGGAATCGCGCGGCGTGGGTCCCGCCGGGGTCCCTGTTGCCCCGCGGCCGCTCGCTGTCGCCGCGGCGGAGGACTCAGCCGGTCAAGCCCCGCTACCGGCGCCGCACTCTTAAGAGCTGAGTCCAGCCGACCCCGCCGGGCCGGGGAGAGAAACGTTCTGTGCACTTCATGTCTGTTTTTAAAGAGCGCCCAGAAAAGCCCAGAGGGGCCACTCATTCAATAGATACTTATTGAGCGCCCACTGTGTGCTAAGTAGGCGCTGTCCTGGGTGTTGGAGTAAAACCGCAAAACAAGGAAACCCTGTCTTGGTGGAAATACTGTAATGCAAGGGGCAAGGGAGAAAATAAAGCAAATAAGTGAAATAGGTGGGATGGGCGAGAAAAATGCAGCTCAAGGCTCTCAAAGAGGCCTGCACGAAGAAAGTGACCGTTAGGTAAAGAGAGGAGGGATGATCGTGTACAAACATAGGGACCAGCTGTTGAGAGCAAAGGCGCCGGTGCAGAGGCCCTGAAGGGGCCTCCAACGTGGAGTGTGGCTGGAGGGGGTGAGCAGCGATGACAGGGCGCCACCTCACTAGGAGTTTGGGTTCTTGGCTATCCGTTCGGTGAGAAGAGCAGAGGAGAAGCCATGATTGCGACCAGTCAGGCGGTGGCACTAATGCAGCTGAGGTGGGGTGGTGGTTTGGACCAGGATGGAAGCAGTGAGGTCATGGGAGTGGGGGACATTGGGACAGCAGGACCAGGGAGAGTTGCTGCCAGATTGGAAATGAGTGTGGGAGGGAGTGACGCCAGGATGAGGCCTGGGTTTCTGGTCTGAGGGTTAGAAGGACAAGGAGGATAGGGAAGGAAAGACTAGGGGAAGAGCAGGGGGAGGTGACGGCTCACGGTCTGTTTTGGCCACATGAACCTCTAGGTCAGTGACAGTGAACCTTCTAGAGATGAGTACCCAAACTGCAACCCAAAACCCACTCATTTATTGCAAAATGCCCACACTGTAATTAAACCTCAATACTGAGGTTTTAGTTTAGGGAAAAAAAATTCATACTTTAACATCTTTTGTCTTAAAAAGAAAAATAACACACGCGTGCCATCGGTTCGCCACTACTGCTCCAGGACATCCTAGAAATGTCAGCTACACCACTGGGTACAGGGACTGATGTCCAGGGGAGCCGGTGGGAGGGATCAGCATAGAGCTGGGAATTGAGCCGTGAACCTTGGGAGACTCACCCAAGGAGTGGGGACAGAGCGGAGAGCCAGGAGGGGAGGACTGAAGGAGGGCAGGAGGCTGGGTGAGCCTCTGGTCAGATGCTGCAGGCGGGGCTGCCTGGCTAGGGGAGCAGCAGGAGGCCTTTGGGGACCAGCTTGGCGAGAACAGGTTTGGGAAGCGGTGAGAGCCACAGTCTGATGGGTGCAAGAGCAGGAAGCCAGAGGGTGCAGGGAGTCTGAGCAGCTGCCTTAAGGAGAGGCGCTTTTTTTTTTTTTTTTTTTGGTGTTTTTAAGACAGGGTCTCGCTGTACAGTTCAGGCTGGCCTTGAGCTCACTTTGTAGCCCAGGCTGGTCTCAAACTCGCAAGGATCCTCCTGCCTCAGCGTCTGGAGTGCTGGGATTACAGGTGTATGGCACCACGCCCGGCGGGAGGCGCTTTAAAGGGAAGGGAGATGGATCCAGAGGATTCTGTGGCTGCAACCTGAGCGCGGAGAGACACAGTGGGTTTGTCAGCCGGTGGGAATGGTGTGGGAGAGGGAAGCGTGGTTGATGGGATAAGCAGGTGGGCAGCCAGTTTCAGGGGCTAGTCACAGGCCCCGATCAGGTGAGCAGGATGCATTGCTCAACTTTGGTACGCGGTGGGAAATGATCAGTCGCGTAAGTGAGGTCACCAGAGTGCAGGGCCTTGTCCTTAACCCGCGGACCCCAGCGGCCTGGACAATGCTGGCAAAACCACCATTCTCAAAAAGTTCAATGGGGAAGATGTGGACACCATCTCCCCGACACTTGGCTTCAACATCAAGACCCTGGAGCACCGAGGGTGAGCTAGGGTCCCCAAGCCACCAGGGCCGGGTAGGCAGCGTCGGGGAGGGGACTGCTGACTCCGCCTCCTGCCCTGCCCAGGTTCAAATTGAACGTCTGGGACGTGGGTGGCCAGAAGTCGCTGCGCTCCTACTGGCGGAACTACTTTGAGAGCACCGACGGCCTCATTTGGGTGGTGGACAGTGCTGACCGGCAGCGCCTGCAAGACTGCGCCAGGGAGTTGCAGAGCCTGCTGGTGGAGGAGGTGCGCTGTGGGGTGGGGCTTGGTGGGGATGGGGGCAGGGCCTGGGGGAGCAGGGCTGCATCCAGCCCCTGACCCCATACTTGGGTCCTCTGTCACCCTGCTCAGATGCCCACCAGCCCCACACTTAACTCATCTGTCACCTTGCTCATATGGCGACCAAAAGACAAGCTCTTTTTCTTGCCTGTAATCGGAGCCTGAGACAGGAGGATGGATGTAAGTTCAAGGCCAGCCTGACCTACGTAGTGAAACCCTATCTCAAAACAAAAGAAGGCAGGATCCAGTGGGCCTGGTGGCACGCGCCTGTGAGCCTGTAATTACAGCACTCGGGAGGCTGAGGCAAGAGGATTGCCCTGAGTTTGAGACCAACTTGGGCTACATAGTGAATTTAAGACCCTGTCTCAAAAAACGAAACAAAACAAAAACCCAAAAGGAATGTAGCTCAGTGCTCCTGAGTTCAATCCCTAGTACTAGCAAAAAAAAAAAAAAAAAAAAAGAAGAAAAGAAAAGAAAAGAATTGGAAGGGTGGGGATATGACTCAATGGCCCAAGTGGTCCTTAGTTCGATTCCCGGTACCAATAATAAAAAACAAAAGAAAAGAATTGAGGGGAGGGAACTAGACAACATTTACACTAGGGGTCTTTGGGGAGCTAACTGAAAGCCGGTATGTGAAGCTCTGACTCTGCTGTGTGACCTCAGGAAGGCACTTAACCACTCTGAGCCTCCACTCCCATATCACTAACATGGGGGTTATAATTAAGCTGACTTTGTAATTTGCTGTCTGGGCCAAAACACTTCTCTATAAGTAAAATTCAGATCTACAGAAAAAGTACAGAGATACCCCAGATCCCTTCACCCCAGCTGCCTGATGTTAACATGTCACAGTCTCATGGTACCTGTCAAAAAGAAGAAATCAGTACTGGCACATTGCTATTATCTTAACTACAGGTCTTACATGGATTTCACCAAATTTTTCCTTAGTGTATTTGTCTCTTCCAGAATTTGGTTCCATTTACTGCATTGCATTTCCTTGAGAGGGAAGGAGGGAGCTGTTTGTAACTATCCAGGGAAGTGGACTGTCCTGGGCTCAGAGGGACATGTAGTCACCAGTGGAACTGTAGCCCTTCCAGGAGTGTGGAATGCTGAGCCAGGCCCAGTGGGTGGAGGCCAGGAGGGGTGCATCACCCCACCCGCCTGAGGGCTCCAGCTGCAGACACGTGCATGGGTGTCACTAGAATCAGAGGCACAGTGGCCCATGGAGCGGAGCATGAAAGGGCTATGCAAACATGGTGCATGTGCCCTCTGTACATGCCAGGCTGTCAGACCTGAGGTGTCTAGAACCTCAGAGGCCTCAGATCACCTTGCCCAGCACCCTTCTCTGCTTATGGAAGGGGAGACTGAGGCATGGAGGTGAGCAGTACACGCTGGGTGGGGCTGGCCTCCGTGGCTCTCCCCACTGCCCACCCCACCAGGCCTCTTCTCCCACCGCAGGCCTTTCCCGGGTCGTGCAGGCTGGTCTTTTTTTTTTTTTTTGTCTTTTTTAGACAGGGTCTCATTATGCAGTTCAGGCTGGCCTTGAGCTCACTCTGTAGCCCAGGGTACTCGCAACAATCCTCCTGCCTCAGCCTCTTGAGTGCTCAGGCTGGCCTTTGACCCCGGATGCCCTGGGCCAGTCACCAAGGGTCCAGGCTGCCTTCAGAGCCCCACCCACTCATATCTTCTCTCCCAAGCGCCTGGCTGGAGCCACCCTCCTCATCTTCGCCAACAAGCAGGACCTCCCCGGAGCGCTGTCTTGTAATGCTATTCAAGAGGTAAGGCTGTGCCGGGCATGGTGGTGCACACCTGTAATCCCAGCACTAGGCTGAGGCAGGAGGATCGTTGGGAGTTTGAGACCAGCCTGGGCTACGAAGTGAGCTCAAGGCTGGCCTGAACTGCATAGCGAGACCCTGTCTCCAAAAACAAAAAGGAAAAAACAAAAAGAGGTGAGGCCGTGCCCTAAAGCGGGCTCACTGAGGAACAGGACCCAATTTCTCCACGCATTTCCAGAGCCTCTCAGCCCCTGCCATGTGGCAGGACCTACGTGAGGCACCAGAGGTTCAGTGGTTGCTAAGATGTAGGGGTGACCAGGGCCTGGGGAAGGCAGGCCTGCAAACATCACTCCACAGGGTGCCAGGGGCCCACACGCCGTGTGTGCTTCTCCTGGAGATGCTGTGTGCATGGTTAACTCATTTCCTTCTCACCACAGCCTCATAAGGGAATAACAACTATCATTTTACAGATGATGCAGCAGTCTTGACAGAGGTTAGATGACTTGCCCATGTCTACCCAGTAGGTAGACAAGCCAGGATTTAAACCCACACTCCAATGCAGTCTACAGCTTCACCATATTTCCCATGTACAACCTCCAGAGTGAGACGGAGCAGGTTAGAACAGTGGTTCTGTCACTTCCTGGCTGTGTGACCTGAGGCAGGTTGCTTAACCTCTCTGAGCTTTGCTTTCCTCCTTGGTACAGTGGCTGACACAATCCCTAGATGGCACAGTGGAGGGGATGAGATGGCATATGTGGGGTCCCTGGCACAATGCCTAGGTCCTGGAGTCACTGAGGAGCCCATGTTGCTTTTATGTCACCCAGGAGGTTGATGGCATTGTGCCGTGGAAAGCCCAAATGCCCCACTGGGTGGGAACCCTCACGGGGAGTGAGGTGACCTTAGAGAAGTGGCACTCTCCAGGGCCAGGGAAGGGGATGGCATGCCAGGCAGGAGCCATGGCAGCTGGCACCACCACATCTCCATCTTCCAGGCCCTGGAGCTGGACTCCATCCGCAGCCACCATTGGTGCATCCAGGGCTGCAGTGCCGTCACTGGGGAGAACTTGCTGCTGGGCATTGACTGGCTCCTGGATGACATCTCCAGTCGCATCTTCACAGCTGAATGAGCCCCTCCACATGTGCCTGGCTCATGATCCGGGCCCTAGCCAGACCACCCACGGGCTTGGGCGCCAGCCAGCAGACTAGCACTCCACTCCCTGCCCCCTGTAACCTGCTGCTGCTACTGCTGCCCGGTGCCCACCCAGGGCCAAGAAAGAGTGCTGGGGCCGGGAGGGAGCACCACTGCTGCTACCAAGGCCCCTCCTTGTCCTCCGCTGTGGTGAGAATAAAGCACTCCTTGCCTGGCTCGTTTGTGATCCCACCACTTCAGGGACAACCTGGGACCCCAGAGTCTAGCAGGGGACAGGAAGGAGCAGAACTGAGTGCTGCTGGGTCAGAGGGATGTGCAGAGATTGCAGAAGCTCCAGACAGGGCTGCAGCTAACAACGTCTGGAAGAGCAAGGTGGCCTTCCCAGGGGAGGTGATGCGAAGGAGGAGGGAAGGTGTCTGGGTAGAAGATTGGAGGGCAGTTGATCGAAGCAACTGCAGAAAGGGGACTCCCTCACTGGTGGGAATCAGAGAAAGGAATGCAGCCCCAGACCAGGGCTTGGAGGTGGTTGAATAAAACTAGACTGAAATTCAGCTCCCAACTTAGCATTGCAGCCAGGTCCCCTTGTGCAGTGGACAACCTGCACAGCTGTATGAGGCATCACAGTTCAAACAGAGACATGAAGAGCAAGAGCTCCTGGGAAATGTGGAGGGGCTTACACTTGGGTACAGGAAGTATGTAGGGAGAGGGAGGGCAGGCGGCTGCCTCAGGCAGGGGTAGCTAAGGCTCTTCCTGACAGCTACAGGGCACTCTGAAGCAGGGCCATCCTCAGGTCTCAGCCCAAGCAGCAAGAGTAATGGTTGTCTGTCTTCGTTTCAGGGGCCAGGGCTCTGAGCTAAGCACTCCCCACATGCCAGTAATCCAGCTACTCAGGAGGCTGAGGCAAGAGAATCACAAATTCTAGAGCAGCAAGGCAACTCAATGAGCCCCTGTCTCAAAATAAAAAAAGGCTGCAGGTAGGCTGCAGGTTCCTGGCATTCCTGAAGCCCTGGGTTCCCTCCCTAGCACCAGAGGGATGGGGCAAGGGGGGAGCGGGGAGAGCTGAGCCCGTGCGGTGTGAGGCAGCAGCACCCCCTGCCCCTTTCACAGAGCACGCTGCCCTGAGGAGGGCAAGCAGTTTGCTCCAAGCCCTCGGCTAGGATGAGAGCTGAGCACACCGCTGCTTCCCGTGAAAGCGCACCCTGGGAGTCTCAGGCTTCCTGGTGGGCACCCGCCGCCCAACGCACCCAGTGCACACTGCCCAAGGGCAGGAGGAAAAGGAAAGGTGAGGAAGAGGCCCTGGGGCTTCTCCCCCAGTGCCCTCCTCAAGGCCTAGGTAAATCAGCCATCCCGGAGCCTCTGGAAGGTCCCCGCCCAGACTGCACAAAAGCTGGGTCTCATCAGGGCAGAAGGGAAAAGGGCGCAAGGGGGGACGAACCTGAGCAAACTGCCCTTCAGTGCGCACGAGAGTCCCGCAGGACAGGAGGTCTGCTTGCTCTCCTGGGGGAGCCAGCCCCAGCCCTGCTACACGCTCGTCCAAGCCAAGCAAGTCGCCTGGCCTGCCGCGCCTCAGTTTCCCCACGTGGGGAAAGGCAGGACACCCACCTCCGAGGGCTGGGGTGAGTGTCAGCTGCAGCACCGCTTAACCCAGCAGGAATTTAAGCAGGTCAGCCAGTGGGAACGCAGACGTCTGCTGATACAATGAGTCAGAGTTCAACACGCCCCGCCCACCTGGGGCCTCAGTGAGAGGTGCATTTGGTGGGAAGGGGAGATCTGTACCTGGGACCCGCAAAGGATAAGCTTTTGCTCATCCAAGGTCTGTGGTGGAGGCCGGGCTGAGGCGGGAAGTCTCCGAGGGGTGGTCAGGCAGAACCCTGGGTCTTTGCTCACCCTGTCGGCTGGGTTTGCTCCTGGTGACGGTGTAGCAGAAAAACCGGTATCAAAGCAAATGGAAGACTTTGCACCAAGGAGTTAGAAGGCAGCTTTTATTATGCTAGCGGGCTGGGGAATCCAGAGGTTCAAATCACCAGCCCAGAGTCAGGTTTGAGTCCAGTTTAAATATGGCTTGCGAGTGGGAAGTACAAAGCTGATAGCAGGTTATTACATGATTGGTTAGATGGAATATAAGAATTATGTCATATGTTGTCAGGTAGGTTTGTACAGGAACATTCTGGGAGGGAGGGGGTCTGAGAAGAGTAGGTGGAATTGAAAGTGTCCCTGACTGGGCCAGTTTCCTAAACACGACGGTCTTTTTTTTTTTTTTTTTTTTTTTGGTACTGGGAATCGAACTCATGATCTCAGGCTTGCCAGGTAAGCGCTTAGGCCGCTGAGCTATATCCCTGGCTACACGAAGCTCTTGAAGCCCTTGCAGCAAGTTGGAATCACTGCCTATTTTTAAAAACACAAGCCAGACACAGTCAGTTTGATCCCACACATTGTTAAGGAGGAACATCTGGGCCTAGACAGTCCAGGCTACCTATGTGACAGGCAACATGAACATAGCCACAGGCTACAAGTTGAATTCTAACTTTTGTTATCACTGCCTACAAGTCTGCTGTTCTATGAGTGTGTCCTAACAATGGGCAGGTGCAGCTAGAGAAGTGGTGAGGCTAGGGGCTAAACTGCTGTAGATGGGAAGGTGGGAGAGGGAAGGGTGTGAGCAAGAAGACCTGGAGCCACAGGCAGCCAGGCAAACTCCGGGGAGCCCACGTTGTGTCAAAGGGGTCTTCTCCTGGGTGAGGGGTCGCGCGTCTGTAATTGCAGGGTTCAGGAGGCTGAGGCAGAAAGATCCTCACAAGTTTGAGGCCAGCCTAGGCTACATAGCTATACAGACCCTGTCTCAAAAACCAAAAACAACAACAACAACAAAAAATGGGGGCGTCTTCAGCGGAGTCCTGGAGTGTGCTATGTAGGAGGATAGCCGCTCCCCAGCCCTCCTCCTGCATGAACCGTCCTATGGGGACTTGGCCCAGCCCCAGTCTCCCAGAACAAGTACATGGCAAATAGCTTAAATAAGGAGAGACAAGTGGTATGACTTTGGGGCAGTCCAGGAAGGTCGGAACTCTCTCTGGTAAAGAGAAGAGCTTCTCCTGTATTTATTTAGTTTTCAAACAAAGGAAGGGGACACTGAGGCAAGGTGGGAATTTAGGGTTAGGGTTAAGGTTAGGGACCTTGGGAAGTTAGTTCAAAGACTTCTCCGAGCAGTAAATTTTGCCACTTAAGAGAACTGTTTGATGTGTAAGGGTGGCGGCTGTATTGCCCTGGAATAGGGAGTGTCAGCAGCCCCGAGCTTGGCTGCTTGGCTGCTTGGCTGTGGTGTCATCTCGACTTTACAACACTGTGAGCATGAGCTTTTCCAACATAGCCAGAGGTCCCTTCATGGTCAGCAATTTAACCCTGGCACAGTCTGGGCTCCAACACCACCCCCTTTTCTCTACTGTCTCCTCTCTCTGTCTTTGAGACAAAGTCGCTCTACAGACCAGGCTGGCCTTGTAGTTACTGTGTAACCATGACTGGCATTGAACTTGCAGTCTTCCTGCCTCAACCTCCTGAGTGCCGGGCTTACAGGTGTGCGCTACCACACCTGGCTAAAAACCACCCCGCCTCAGAGCCTCCGGAGGCTCACTCCAGAGTCCTCTTTGTCTCTCCCCAGAGCCTGCAGCCCAGCACAAGATCTAGGAATGAGTTACCAGGAACTTGACCCACAGAAAGACATCACAGCCTGTGACTGCACGGTACCTTTCAACGGGTCTTCACTCTGGTTGTAACACACTGACTACAGCACAAGTGACCACCGCCCTGGGTTTGACAGCAACTGGTCTTCTCGGGGTCCGAGGGACAGCACCAATCACAAGGTTCAAGACCTTGTGAGGGACCCACGAAAGCCTTGTCCATTTACAGAGGGTCAAGCAACGTGGTTCTGTCACCAGACAGGTCTGAGGGTCCTCCAAAAAGAAGATGGGGCTCTCTCAGCTCAGCCTGCTGAGCAGGTTCTTGATTCACATCATGGAAAAAAGAACTTCAGGCTGCGTCGGTGTGAGGCACAGGCAGGTTCACTATGCAGTTGGGCAGTGCAGGAGACTAGGAAAGACTCCAGCTAGAATAGCCGACGGGGCTCACTCTGATACAGGGGTTCGGCCTGGTCACTCACAAAGGCAGGGTCCAGCCTCTCAGCGTTAGCTGAGGTGGGCCAGGACCAGGGGTCATTATCTCTCTCCTGCTTTGCCTGGCTCTGGAGGAATCCCATGGCTTGTGGGCAACTCTGTTCCCATAAGATGATTATTTCTGCCAGGCGAGGTGGCTCATGCCTGTAATCCCAGCACTCGGGAGGCTGAGGCAAGAGGACTGTTGTGAGCTCAAGGCCAGCCTGAACTGCATAGCGAGACCCTGTCTCAAAAGGACAAAAAAAAAAAAAACCCCAAGATGATTGTTTCTACCTGGGGTTGTCTCAGCCCTATAAGGCTCTGCTGGAATCCAAGGTGACCCTAGGTTTGCGGCACTGGAGCTTAGGGCACAGCTAAATGTCTCTGTAAATCTCTTGGTGTCCTCATGTAGGCAAGGTAAATTGAGGGCTGATAAATCTTGTTTTGCATGATTAACATACCTATACCCAGAGTTTCAAGGTAATGAAGGATACAAAATGAAAGTCAGGATTTGTTCTACTTCTAGTAACCTATGGTAACCTACCTGTAACCCCAAGTGATGAAGAGGCATGGTTGGTTTTGGTTTTTTTTTTTTTTGGTCTCTTTTGAGACAGGGTCTTGCTATGCAGTTCAGGCCGGCCTTGAGCTCCCTTCAGTAGCCTAGGCTGGTCTGGAACTCGAAACGATCCTCCTGCCTCAGCCTCTCAAGTGCTGGGGTTACAGGCATGTGCCACCACGCCCGGCTTTTTTTTTTTTTTTTACAATCCTCCTACAGCAGCCTCCTGAGTGCTAGGATTACAGGCATGCACCGTCATGCCTGGCCCCTGTTTATCTTAGAACAAAAGATAAAATCATGATCATCCCTACAGTAGTCTCCGTCACCTTTTTTCTTTCTTTCTTTCTTTTTTTTTTTTTTGTCTTTTTGAGGCAGGGTCTCGCTATGCAGTTCAGGCTGGCCTTGTGCTCACTTTGTAGCCCAGGCTGCTCTCGAACTCGAGTCTCCGTCACCTTTTTATGGGTGACTTTTCTTCCCTTAAACCAAGACACAGTAGCGCTAGCTCCAGCATGTTCTCCACAC